AGTGTTCATTAACTAGGTGAAGACTGATTGACATATTTACATCATCAAAGAACCAATACTCAATAATAAAGATATTGAACACAAAATGTGACCTACCTGGTATCCATGACCACAACTAGTTGATCCAGACAAACCAGGGTGTCACTCAGACTAGAACCTGAACTACACATCAATGTTGTGCTAGTCAGGCCACTGAAGATAGTTCACAGCCTTTACAAAATAATCCAGCTGGCAAATCAACATTAATCAGTTACACATAAAAGACATTCAAGAAAGGTCTTCTTCCCTCTGCCCTTTGTAGGTCCCCTCTGTTGGTACAGGAAACCACAAGTGGCTTTGTCTGTGAGGATTTGTACGAGTTAGTGTAACTGTGTGACTCTCATTACGACCTTCACACCATGGATAGAGCTGTGTATGAAGATTTGATCCTGTTTAGGAAAATCCATCTCACTTAATCCTTTCCAATTATATGTTTATGGTCTTCTTGATGACTTGTCCAATTAATAGGCTAAAAGCTGATGCTGCTTGTGTTCCATGCAGACGCTTCCTTTAAAAGCTAGTGTTAATTGCAGCATTCAGAATGGTGGACAACTGCTGGAGTGGTTGTATGTTGAACAATAGCACGCAACTGCTGTGGTAGCACACATGTGAGGACCCTTTACAGGATCCCCGTGTCATCTGCTTCGTTTTCTTCTCACACAACATAATGGCCAAAGTTTTTTGTTTGAAGAAATCAATTGTTTTCGCTTATGTGCTTTTAAACGTTCGTGAATATGTTGTGAAGCAATGTACACTGTCATTAAAACTTGTCAACCGAGGCCTGCTATCAATAAGCACTATAGAATGACGGACGACAAATGGATGCACTGATCTCGATAAAAATTTCTCCAGCACTGACACCAATGATGACTGATCCCTCCTCTTGACGAGGTTTTGCTTTTCCCTCGGTCTTTGATTTTTATTTTAAGATCCATATCACTGTGGAATCTTTTCAACTTATTGTATGCATCCTCAAAACTCCAGCCAAGGATTGGATTTCCTATCAAGATTGTTCAGTGCCAGTTATGGAATTGATTAGTCCGTCGATCAGTGAAAATCAGTGCTGGACAGTTGATGGTGGAGGGGCGCGATGAAGAGAACGCTAGTGCAATCCTGGATAGTTTCCCTCGATATGTAGTAGCTGATGCATGGAGCACTACCGGAATGTAAATCTCCGTTAGAATGACTGCTACGAAGGTTGTCTGTAAGTAACGTCAGCACATCTGTTCAGCTTTCATGGCACTGGTGGCAGAAGTAAAATTGCCATCTGAAAAAAGTCACCTCTTTGTTACGGTAATTGAGATGATTAATAGACAATCAGCTTGTGAGGTCAATGTCATTCATTTTATTCAGTAATAAACTTATTTTAAAGCTGTTTAACACTTATCATATAGGTGATTTCCTGGTATTTATGATTTGGGGATGATGTGGAGCATGGAGATATCCACGTATTATTATTGATTTGATGTTGCAATGAGATTATTTATGAGTGTTTGAAGCCATTGGCTGCACAGGTGGGGCTTAGCAACATGGGTGTCGGTTGAAGTGTCGTGATTATCAGACTTGTAGTTTATGGATTGGACATTTATATGAAGTAGTATGATCTGGAGTGTCTGTTCAGTCTTTCAAGGGATTAGAGATAATGCTTTGTGTTAGTTTTGTATTTCTTTTTGTTTACCAGTGAGATCATGACATTAAAATTTGAACTATCAATGTCACAGAATTTGATCAAAATAAATTTTAGCTTTAGCAGTGCTTATGAAAAGTATTAGAAGGATCAAATATTTTGATGTATGGTAATTCTATTGCATATTGTGGATTAAGTTGCATAGAAATGAGAGATTTAAATTGACACAGGCAACATGTAGCTTGAACATATGCAAGCACAATTGTTATTTGTCATGGCTAGAAAATTGATTTATATTATTGTTAACAGATTGTGATTGTCTGGATTCTTGTATATCACCATATGGTCTCTGTACGTTTGGGAAATAGGTCCAATTTTATCAGCCAAGAAATGTATAATGAATTTAAAAAATATGAAGATCTGGCAGTTCCAAATTTGTGCCAGCCACTTCTTTTGCAAAGATCCATTAGTAATCAAAGCTATCTTAAAATAGTCTTGAAAAAGTTAAGGATGTCTTGAAAACTTAGTGAAGCAAATGTATCGGGGAAAGTAGAGTGCATCATGAAACTTAGAATGATGTCTTGTACAGTGGAGAGAAAGATATCCAACTATAACGGCTGTTACCTGTCTAGATGAAATGCAAATGTTGCCATCACAGCACTCACCATTTTGTTGTAGTTGTAGATGTCAGTAAAACAGTTATGGGGATATCTTACGAATTAATATCTACTGGAGAAGCATGTTGAAGACATCTTTGATGATAGAGATGAAATTACTTCAGCAAGATGACATACGCTTTTCTTCAGAATACTTTATCACAATTTGTGCTTTCTGTCATCGTCTCTGAAATTGTAAGGTTTATTCGTGCCATGCCCTGGCTTTGAACTGAAATAATAAGGGTTTGTCTGTATTTTGTTCTTTTCATCTCAAGGTTTCTATTCATTGATCCTGGAGAACAGCACATGCATCAGAGAATTTGGTAAAGGAAGGGTTCTTCCTGTGGGAATGTGTGTTTGTAGATTCGAGTGGAAAAGGGTAGACTTTTTGTCAAAGATGGGATCTTTGGTTGGTTTGTCTTCAACAAGTTTGTTGTGTTGGAAGGAAACGGATCCATCATTTCAAAGTGGTAATTCAATAAATTGAAAATTTTCTTTGTCATTTGAGTGTGTTGCGGAAGTGACAATTTTTAATTTTGGTTTTACATTTTGTTAGTTGTTGATGTTCACAATTACAATATTTGTTTTATTTTTTGTTTTATTTATGTACTTTTATGATGTTTAAGTATCAAATTTGTAATGTAGTTCAGAGCATTTACATTGGTAGGAAATCATCACAGGGACATACCTGATTGCAGTTCCCGGTCTGTACCTTGGAGCTGTTAGCATGACTTAGAGGTGAAGAGAAATGGGGTTTAATGTCACACATGTTTTGCCTGTGCCCACAGAGATACCATACTGCGTAACATGGATACCCCACACATTACACTAACTCAGAGCCGACCAGTCCTTGTTGTCTCCCCTCAATGTCTAGCCCCAGGACCATGCCGTGATATAGCTGGAATATTGCTAAAAGCGGCATAAAACCATACTCACTCACTCACTCTAGCCCCAGGACCCCGCTGTGATATTGCTAGAATATTGCTAAAAGCGGCATAAAACCATACTTACTCACTCACTCTAACCCCAGGACCCCGCTGTGATATTGCTAGAATATTGCTAAAAGCGGCATAAAACCATACTTACTCACTCACTCTAACCCCAGGACCCCGCTGTGATATTGCGGGAATATTGCTAAAAGCAGCGTAAAACCATACTTACTCACTCACTCTAACCCCAGGACCCCGCTGTGATATTGGGGGAATATTGCTAAAAGCGACATAAAACCATACCTACTCACTCACTCTAACCCCAGGACCCTGCTGTGATATTGCGGGAATATTGCTAAAAGCGGCGTAAAACCATACTTACTCACTCACTCTAGCCCAAGGACAACGCTGTGATATTGCGGGAATATTGCTAAAAGCGGCGTAAAACCATACTTACTCACTCAATCTAGCCCCAGGACCCCACTGTGATATTGCGGGAATATTGCTAAAAGCGGCGTAAAACCATACTTACTCACTCACTCTAGCCCCAGGCAGGGTAACAAAAAGTACCATCTCACCATCTTTTGGTATGACGTTGTATAGAACCACCAACCTTCCTCTCTCCACTAGACCCTGGAGGCTGTAGCTGGTGTTCGGCTTCACCTCTATGTAATGTGTTTCAGTTTAAACACTAATAAGTATTCCGTGGATAAAAAGAGACACTGTTTGGCATAGAGAAGTCAATTATTTTTAGGTTGTTTTGTTTAGGATGGATATATATTTAGTTTTTGCATCAAGTGCAAAGATTTATTTCCCATTACGGTTTGTGCTCAAATCCCAGCATGAGGGACAGTGTCCCTTTGAAGTGGGTAACTTATATGTAACATCTCATGGACAGTATCTCAGTTCATGGACAAGACTTTGAAGGACAGATGTATAGTTGGTCGTTGAATCAATGTTGCAACAAGAAATTAGTCAAATTGAGGAGGAAACAAGATAAATTAATCTTAAATTTGGTTGACTCCATGATTGTGGACTCTAATTATTGGTTTTCTATGTTCAGTTCATTTGTCTACCGAGACTTTGACCAGAGCTTTGTTTCAGGTTGCAGAGGCTGGAGTGTGTGCATGTTGCACCATCATGTCCGATCTGTCATTATGCTTCAGTGCGTTTAACAGATGTTGAACAAATTTAGAAAACAGACAACAGGATGGTTATTGTTTGTCATGTTCAATTTCATTGCTTAACAAACTTAGAAAAATCATGACCGGACAACTGACCAGGGTCCACTTGCACAAAGTGATCTTAGTGCTAAGACTATTGTAAGCCTATGTTAAAGTATGGGAGTTACGATCATCTTAGCGCTAAGATCGCTTTGTGCAAGTGGGCCCTGATCTGTATAAACCATCTGTCGATAACAGCTAAGGGTTTAGGTTTGCTTGGGTCAGTTGGCAGTGGGTCTGCTTGTTGCCAGGTTTTAGTTTTAAACTCTATGCTACATGTAACCAGTGGATGCAGCATATGCAGTGCATGTGTCAAGTTGATTTGGTGCTTTGAGGAACAGACTTAGAGCAGGAACTCCAGGTGCACCATGTCAGGCTCAACCTTTGTTTAAATGAAATAGACTCCTCTGTTGCATGTGGAAAGCCTACAGTACCAACATGCTTCGTTTACATAGATTGGTCTTCAGCTTGTTAAGCACTTGCTGTGTGATTTATAATGATTTTGACAAAGACAATGTTATTGCAGGTGTTCGTCGGTCAAGCCTAGCCTCAACATGGAGTCGCGACTCAGGGTTGTCGCACCGGCGGTTGAAGCCGATATCGTCGTTGAGCATCAACGACATGGCCTGCGAGGCCAAGGTGCAGCCCCTCCCCAGCCCCGGCCTGCTCAGCACCCACTCCATGTGGTCCACCAGCGACCTCTTCAGTCGACCAGCCAGCAGGCAACAGGACCCCGAAGTCGTCTCCAAGTAAGAACATTCAGTATTTAGTTTTATCATCAGACTTTGGTAAGAGGCGTGTAGAACAATCCTCATGTCGATCACTGGATTATCTGATCGAGTCAAATGGCTGAAATATAACGTGCGGCGTTAAACAACAAACAAATTAGACTATGACAAAGCCAGTTTATCAATTTGGGGTAGAACGTGTGCGTTTATTTTGTAGATGACAGACTTAAAAGAAATATTTAAATTTGAAATATATTACCACTTGATATATGTTCATATTTATGTATTGTCCCAGACTCTACTGTCACAATTTTAGAGAATGTTTCCTATACAACTATCTCTGCTCTCATTATGTGAAGAGGGGGCACGGGTGGCCCAGTCGTCTAACGCGCCGCGATTCGCTGTGCAGAGTTGCGTCCCTTGGGCATGCCAGAAACCTATGATCGTGGGTTCGAATCCCGGTTCGCCCCAATTATGTTTCTAGGTTTGTCAGCACCATACCCGTGCTCGTGGGTTTCACAGAAGTGGTAAACGTCTGAGACCTGCATCACTTCGGGCTTTCCTCCCACATTAAGCTGACACGCCACGATATAACTGGAATACTGTTAAAAGCGGCGATAAACCCAACTCACTCACTCACTCACTCATTATGTGAAGAATGTTTCCCATACAACTATCTCTGCTCTCATAATTTGAAGAGTACCGGTATTCCCATACAACTATTTCTATTTCGTGATGTGAAGAATGTTTCCCATACAACTTTCTCTACCCTCATACTTTGAAGAATGTTTCCCATGCAAGTATTTCTACTCTCATACCTTGGGTAATGTTTGCCCCTACAGTTTTCTTAACTTATACTTTTTATTTGTCAAATACAATTACATCTACTCTCATAATTTGAATGATTCACGTTCGCTATCTCTACTACCATAGTGTAGAGAATATTTCCCTCACAACTGCCTCAGCTATCATTTGCCTTTCCATATGGACTGATAGAGGCATAGAGATAATATCATATTAAGTGGACCCTAGATGTTAAAGGACTTTAAAAAAACATCAGTTTGCTGAATATTCAGAGAAAATGTAAATACATACCACCAGAAAGTCATTCAGGGAACTGGGACTTAAAGATGAATTATATGCAACGGGGAACTAGATTCTCATGCAAGAAATGCTGTTATACAGCGATAGAAATATCTTGATACAAGCACCCTGATGAATTGTTGCTGTGAACTCTCTAAAACATGGCTGACAGATCAGCCCATTTGACCCAGCCACGGGGTGTCTTACAGACCCACTGGCGGATCTGGGTGGAGGGGTGGGGGGTACAGGGGTTCCACCCACCTTTTTCGGGACACCTTACATGTTAACTGCACACACGGTGTTGGGTATTATGTGCCCCAAACTCCAAAACGTTTTAAACATCCCGGTTCCACCACTGAGACCAGCATAATTGCTCTACTTCATTTATCAGTGAAGATACTTGTTTTGGAAATGAAAAGACAGCTTCAATGAATATAAACATGAAAAAGTCTCTAAATAAATAAGCAACGCTGCCTCTGAAGAGAATCTTGCAGTTTGGGGCATAAAAGAAACCAGTTTGATATGACATTGTCACTGAAAGCTGGCTCATGAATAAATGTGGGATGTGTGGAATATAAGTATGATTTCATCACAGTCCTGCAATGGGGACTTGTACCCTAGCTAGGACGTGGTCCGTTAAATGGAGAGTTGGTGTCCTGTCGGATGAGGTGTTGGTGAAGGTTGTGTTGCTGAGGCACAGTTGGGTTCATCAGTGATGGTGTAGTCCAGTCAGTGTTGTATAATGGAGACTGATGGACATACAGACGGTAGGCGGGATGTGGATGACATCTCTCTGTGAGTAACAGTTAATCCCATGTGTTTCGAGGTGTATCAGGCAATACACTACAGTTGTGGGATTTCATGAACAAATATTGGCTGATACACACTGGAAAGTATCTTATTCCTTGGGCAAGGACACATTTATTTGTTTTTCAGGATTCCGGGAGAGAATAGGTTCTTATCCTTGTAATGACTAAATGAATAAGGTGGTCAGGATTGGTGGTTGCGTGTCATAGGACCCCATTGGTAGGGACATTGCACAAAATATTAATCAGCGGTTTGTCTGGTTCAAATTAAAGTATCTACAGGCAGCTTTCATAAAACTTGAATTATATCAAAAGGAAGAAAAAAGGCCTGCCATTTTTGCCTTTATTACTGTTTTTGTCAAAGTAACTAAAAGGACAAAAAATATTCACATACAAAAAGTAGTAAAACTTAAATAATTTCCAAAAATATTTCTGCCTCAATTGAGACCTTATGGCACTCTGGAGGTTTGGAGTTTGTATTTGCAATGTTTTCTTGATTTTTATTTTAAATCAAGACTTGAATTGTACAAAATTCTGCGAAATCATTTACATAAGATGGCTACGTGAGAATGTATCGGTGTATTATACATTGACACTAAAAGGTTAAATGGATGGCTGTATAGCCCCCCCCCCCCCCCCCCCCCCCCCCCCCAAAAGGTGGGATACCAAGAATTTATCATATAGAGAGTTGTTATTGTGAGATGCAGTGTATGACAAGTCGGACAATCAATCACATCCCTTGGAAAGATGTGTGGGTTTGAAGTTCAAAGATGTCCATGGTTCAACAGTTGTGATACGGAGGCTGCCATTTTGGTTACCCCCAAAACTTGAATCAATTAAAATTAAGAATTGCATGCGGAAAAGTTTAAACTAAAAGTGTATTGAAATTAATCCTTATGAGCACTATCCCACATAACAACCCTAATGTTAAACTTTGAGGTTTTAGAATAGTTGGTTTGTTGCTGAACAACACACTCAGCATCTACCAAATTTTGTCATCTATAAAGCGATCCCCTGTACAAGCCTCAGAAATCGATGCTAATTAATATACCCTGTCAAAAAATGGGACCTGCAATGAAGGACATCACCAGCGCATACACAATCCCTACATTTGCAACAAAAACGTGTTTGGCTGCCTATGGTTTTTATATGATGCTCGGTATTGGCACTGTTTAGTGTGTTGACACAGTCCAACACCAAACTGGTGACTGTCAAATAAATAATTGCGACAAAACCCTTTCCGTATTCATAAGAAATCTCTTTCAAAAATGGAGCTGATTGTACAATTCTGACCATATCATGAACATGTGTTTATGAATCACTATCAAATAGTGATGAAACCAGGTGTTTGTGAAAAAAGGCTAGGGTATCCTGCCCCACCGGTGGCACCCGTCACAAACGCATGCAAAGGCAAGTCAATTGTTCACCTGAAAAAACACAGGAACATATGGTGCAAGTCAATATAGGGAATTGCAGCAGACATCATTTTTGTCTCTGATGCGTCAAATTTGGAAATGCCCTTCATGTGTCTACTGTAAAACCTTTTGAAACCTTTACTGAGGCCTTGAATGTTGTAACCCTGATCAAACAATGTCCGAGCAAGAGTTGTATGACGCTCTTTGGAATCTTGTTAGAAATAGCATCCATGATCGTACCTAAAAAATTGTGAATTGTAGACACCAAGGGCTGAAGCAGCAAGAATATTGCTCGACATGAAGGGAAAGTTGACTATTGTAAAGTTGAAGTCATCCCTCTTGTCATGGTCTTGTGGTGAGTGTTTTGTCCCTCTGAATCTTTATGCATAGATCTAAATATGAAATAGATGAAGCAGTCTCACTGGTCTGTTTTATTTCTAGTTCAGGTGGGTAAATTATTGGAAGGGAATTGGCTATTTGATGGTTATTGAACGATATCAGATCATCAAGAAACCTTCATTTTATGTACCATATTTTATTGAGTATAAAATTGTATTTCCTGTTCCACTAAGCATTGTTTTATATGCAGAGATTAAGATTACTGTGTGTATTTTCTCATAAACTAAGCAGGAAACAGCAATCAGCTGTACACACATATTCTTGGAGATCTGCCGGTGATTCAGTTAAAAATTACCCAATAATATAACTTTAAACAATTTTGATGCTGTGATTGGAAGAATTGTATCTGAAGCTATTATTGTATCAGGAATAATATATACCAATATTGTGTTATTTTCGTTGCAGCTTTACTAAATATATATTTAAAATAATATTGACCATAAGTGTAGCACTTTGGTACAGCTGATCGCTATTGCCAGACATTCTTCATGTATGGAACAATTTGACCAATCACCGTTAAGGCTCACATGCTCGCAATCAAGGAAACTTTATGTTGACATATGATAGTGAAACTACAACAAATAGGACTTTTGATGAGTCAAAGTATAGCCTTTATAATATATAAATCCATTCTCTACAGAGGCGCTGATAAATCACACTGCTTTTAAGAATGTCTTTTTTTCAAGTGCCCATACACCTTCAACAGATATTTTACTCCTGTTTGCTTAGGTTCATGGAAAGTATGTTGAAACACTAAAATGTTGATAAATGTTGTTTAAGTTTCTTTTTTCAGTTTATAAGTTAGATCAACACTTACCCTTGGGTTTTTATGAGATTTATAACCCTCATCCTCGGGGTAAAACCTCAGGGCTGGCGGCCATCAGTTTTGTCCCTTGGATTCTGGTTTTAAATCACATAAAAACCCTCTGACATGTTTTATGCTAAGGACCTATTCCAACTCCGGTCCCCATTGGGTATAAAGAAACACACAAAGACACATATTGTGTGTGCACCACAATTAATAGGGGTTCCTGTGACATCATCCAGTTAGGAGGCAGCTGACCAGTTAGGAGGTAACTGACCAGTTAGGAGGCAACTGACCAGTTAGAAAGCAGATGACCATTTAGGAGGCAACTGACCAGTTAGGAGGATACTGTCCAGTAAGGAGGCAACTGACCAGTTAGAAAGCAGCTGACCATTTAGGAGGCAAATGACCAGTTAGAAAGCAGCTGACCATTTAGGAGGCAACTGACCAGTTAGAAAACAGCTGACCATTTAGGAGGCAACTGACCAGTTAGGAGGCAGATGACCACTTAGG